GGTCAGAATGCACATAACTCAGCTACAAGGCAGACGGTGGTAAATACTACGATAAATATTCCAACAGCGCTATGGGACTTGGTGAGGAGGGAGAAATTAATTCTGACTGGGGGTGGGGTGGGGTGGACAAGGTGACATCAAGATCCAACAGTGACTTCCCAAAGAGACACAGGAACCTGTCCTGGCAAGGGAGGCCGAGTCAAAGCATCTGGCTCCCAACTCACAACAGCCTTTGCCCCCAGGGCACCCCCAGTCTCCCACCCACTCAGCCCTCAGAGAACAAGGCAATGAGCTTTCCTCAAAGAAGAACTCCAAGGTGGTCTTCCATTATATCTTCAAAATTCATACGAATTATGAATTCCACTCCACAGGATACCAACATGTGTTTTGCTATAATAATTTTCATATAATTGGCTTAAATGACCTGTCATTGAGTAAAACCATTTCATCTCATGGCCTGTGCACCCCGACACACCACTTGTATTTGCAGAGTACCTTCTCCAGAAATTCAGCTTCTGAGACAGCAAGTTCAGGTGTCCCGTGTCTTTTCTCCTTGTCAGGATTAATGAACTATTCCGCTTCCAGATCTCCGAGACTGGTCATAGTGAACAGACAACACACAGGAATCACAGAGGCCGGCATCAGCTGAACGCGGGACGTTTCATGCACTTCTCTCACATCGGGGGAGAAAGAGAAAGAATAACGCACCTTGGACAGGAGCTGTGTTTCTGGACCATGATGCTTCCACCTCGAAAATTTAAACAGTTGGCTACTTAACGTTAAACAGCATAAGAAAATGTGGCACGCTTCCCCTCTCCCTGGCCTCCCCACGATGAAACACCAAAGTGTTAAAAAAAAAAAAAAGGCCCAGTGTGTGATGAGGACTTGGGGGTTAATTTTCAGCACGGTGCCAGGGCATTTAGCTGTGGGACTCTCATTACTTGTACTGGGAACCCTGCTGCTTCATTTCGCGCAATAGTGTATGGAAACCGCACCCTTACACGGCTGCACGATTTTAGTTTTGAAATTGAGGCCGTCTTTCTCAGAGCAAAGCAGATTTTTAAAAACACCAAACTGCTCGGTGTTGGCCCGGGGCCTGTGTGTTTGTGCTTATGTGTATGGGGTGGGGGATGTCTTTCTCCCAAGTGCAGGTGCCCCTTTCAAAGACAGCAACATTAAAACGTGATGCCCAAATGGCTACTAGTGCCAATGCCCAGTGGTTACTATGCCTCATCTTAAAGCTTCGTCAGGAACCCCATAAAACTAGCACATGGTTGGTGACACCCAGTGAAACCTTGTGCTTCTGCCTTAGTAACCTGAACCCTGCTGCCTGTCATTAAGGGACGTCTCCTATTAGACATCTTTTTTTTAAATAGCTGCCATCATCTGGTCCCAGTGTACATTAAATCCCATTATAATTATAAACACACTTCCCCATAACATCCGTTGCAGATTTCATCCACCCTGCCTACCCCCTCAGGGCATCTTTGCACTAATAACAACTCAGATTTGCTATTTGAGTTGACAACATTAAGGTCCCAACACCATTTGCAATATGCTGGGGGAAGAGAGAGAGGAGAAAAAGCTTTCTCTTTCTCAATCATGAAGATCTTGGGGTCACAGTGACCCAAGACCCCAGGAGCTAAAAAAGAAAAAATAACCCCTCTTCTTTCCCCTTTGAGAAGTCACTCTCTGCCCAACAGACAGGAGGAAGGGTGTGCTTAGCACCTGGAGGCGAAGGCTGCTAGCCAGGACTCCACTAGGAAAACAGATGACAATTATTAATCAGAGAGGCCATCTTCTTATTTGGTTTTCTGCCCTTCAACTAACCGGAATCCACATGTCACCTGATTATTTCCCTCTTCTGTTCTTTTTGGAGGGGGCATCTAAAAAAGTGACATGAAAGGATTAAAATAATTAAGAAAAAAAGAAGAAAAAAACGAACCAGAGAAAGCCATCCACCTACGCAGGGAGGAGAAATTTGATTTTGGTTAGTTTTTGACGTCATTTGCATCTACCTAGTAAATATCTGCAATTATGACCTTGAAGCCTTGTAAGGTCCTTTGCCTCCAGGAAAGGCCAGAGTAGGTCTGCAGTATCTTTCCCCAAGAGTCCCCAGAGGGGCAGAGAGCTGAGGGTGCCTGTGACAGCCTGGTATGTCTTCCAGTGGCAACTTGGAATTCTCAATCGCTGAGGAGATTTTTTCCATTCAGGGGCTTCACTGTCTGCATCCCTCAGTGAAAAGGCTTTAAGGTTTTAGGATGCAAAGTAGCTGCTTCTCCCCCAGAGGTAGGAGTCCTTGATTTATTTATCATGATAGGAAAGTCTGCCTTAAAATTTTACAACTATTTTCCACCTGAGGAGTCGGAACAAAATGAGTTGCAACATTTCATTAACACTCAATCAGAATACAGAATACTCAAAACACCACTGCAGCCTTCTTCCTGGACATCTGTTTGGTTGAAGTTTTATTGTAATTCAAAACTCCCTCCTCAACTTGTGCCTGTGATTTTGAAGAAGGAGGGAAGGTGACCTAAGCCTGTTTACCTGGTGGCCCCATTCAGTGGGGACCGGCTTGGTCCTCAGCTTGCCTGGCTGCTGGTAGCTCTCCCCCTCAGTGGAGTAAGAGGAGGAGGAAAATCAAAAGCCCTTGTTTTCCTTGTTCTATCTTGCTAGAGGCTGTCCCATCTAGAAGTGAAGATCATGAGCTCTGCAGCCCGAATGGTCTGATTTAAAGCCTCAGCTCTGCGGCCTTGGGCAAGGCGCTTAACCTCTCAGTTTTCTCATCTGAGAAATGGGGAAAATGATAGCATCTGCCTGAGTGGGTTGTAACAAGGATTAAATAATACAAGATAGGTAATGTGTTGAGATTCATGGTCAGTGCTCAGAATGAGTTCTTATTCCCACTGTCTCCTGCCTGTAAGATCCCTTAGACCTGACATAGCCCCCTCCTCCACAAACTCTGAAAGGCTGCTACCCGTGGAAAGGATGTGAATAAAGGAGGAGATGAGGGAATAAGAAGATTTACCGTGGAATTCTATTCAAAGGTCAATTCATCTATTCCCGTCTTTAGCATGATCTGGTAAGACTGAGGTCTCTCCTATTTTTAGACCTGTCTGAACTGATGTCCCAGTTTCCCTTACCATATCCTTCAAGTAAAAAAAAGAAAACAAAACAACAAACTACAAATACATGAAATCAGAGAGAGAGAGAGAGTTTTCTCCTGTAATTTTCCATCCTGCTTGTCTTCAGGTGCCGCCATATGAAATCTCTGACCTGGGGATTCTCATCAGCCTTCAGGGGACCCAAGGACATAGCTCTGGCTATAAACGGTGCCAGTTTTGGTGGGGGAGCTGCTGCTGCTTTATCTGGGCCCAATAAACCTTATCAAACTGCTGTGCAGCCAGCCTTCAGCGCTAAGTGGAAATGCTTGGAGCCCAATTCTGGCTCTCAGCCCACAGCCTTGCCTGCCTTCCTCCTTTTTGTTACCTTCTCCACCTCTTAAATTCAGGCATTAATCTCTCTTTAACACTTACTAACAAGGGCTGGGCTTTTTTAATGGGCAGAGTTTATGAAGCAGGGGAGATTTTCACATCGAGTGAATATGGCATGGAGTGGGTGGGGGGAGTCTAGGGCCATGGAGGGATTGTTCTTGCTCTCCCATTGTTTCCAAGGCTTCTCTCTTTCTCTGATTTGAGGATTAATAGGAGATTAGGATCAAGGGTTAACTGTGTGCTTCTCCTGCCACTGCACTTAGGAGGGGCTGGTAGGTGGACGTGGATGGCAAGGCGGCAACCTTCCTTAGGCACCGTCTCTGGGCAGAGGCTCAACAAGTTCAATGATCGTTCCTTCTCTTTCCCTGGTGAGGCACTAGGAAGGTCTTTCTTCTCTTCTTACATCCCTCTCCTCATGCTCTCCTTGCAGACCAGTGGTTTCTGAACTTCCTTTAAATGCCTTTCCTCTTGCAGATAGTGTAGACCTTAGCTAGAAAAACAGCCCATAACCAGGATCGCTCTTTATTGTTAATCAAAATGAATACCTAGGCACCAGGCTTTTCTGGGGATCGGTTAGGTGCTGCTGTATTCAGGACAATCCGAGGGTAATTGACTTGCTTCCCTTCCAAGTGTGTTTCTCTGCTCTCTTCTCCTCTCCTCTGACTCCTGCAGGGCTGAGCCCTTTTTCCCTGCTAGGAGACCGGAGCATTCTTACAAGGACGGAATTGCCTGTCCTTGGGACTGTTCCCCCTTAGCCGTTCTTGGGGGCCTTAGCACTTTGCACTGCGGCCTTCAGTGGCCCAGAGGCAGATTTTTGCATCTAGTTGGTGTCTGCCACCTTCCATGACCCTACGTTCTTGGGGCCTGACTCTAGGTCTGGGGCAGTACTGGAGACAAGCATCGGAATGTGACTGTATGTGAGTCCTGTGCAAACCTTTGACCCGCCAGTGTGTCAGGGACAGAGTGTGGGGACTCAGGTCTCCCTGACTGAACAGCCCTGCGATGCTAAGACTGTAGGACTTCCCGGGCTGACTGTCCGGAGACCCAGGGAGGGCGCTCTCCACCACCGACCTCACCCCAGCGATCCCGGACCTTAGCCAGCCGCCAAGGCCGGTGCTCATCAGAGAGCTTCCTACCTCTGGTCCCCCTACCTTCGCTAAGCTCCGGGGAAAGGGGGGAGAAGGGGACTCTCCGCCGCCAGCGGAAGGGTAGGTTTCTTCTGGTTGCTCTACCCGGAGGTTAGTGATCTCAGCTCCACTCTCTATAGAGGAGCGGCCAGCGGAGAAAAGGAGGCTCTTTGGGGGGGGCTCTGGAGCTTTTTCAAGCGTTCACTCGCTCCCTGAAGGCTTTGCGCTGAGCAGGACGAGGTTCTCAGGAACTGTCTCCAACCAGGTTCCCTGGCCGGGGCGGGGTGGGGGGGCGGGGTGGGTGTGGTGTCAAAGCCCAGGGGATGCTCAAGACTGAGAGGAATAAAAGTTCCTCTCTCGACCTCGCCTCCGGGGATCCCCACAGCTAAAATGAGGAAGGGATCTCCCTTCGACGACTCATCCCCGCGGACCCTCTGGCACTAGGCTCCCCAGGGCCTGCGAAATGCGCGCCCCTGGAGACTTCTTGCAATCCGGATGCCCAACACCTGGAGGCATTAGAAGGCCTGGGCTTGGGCTGAGAAAGGGACCTTCTGCAACCGATGTCGGGGTACAGGGGATGCAGCCCCGAGCCCGGAGAAAAGTGAAAGGCGAGATGACACACACAGAATCGGGGCAAACACTGGAGCCGGGGACGAAACTCCGCGCCCGGGGCAGCAGGGAAGAAGAAAACCCGTGCCCAGAGGAAATAAAAAACCTGGGGTTGAAGGTAGGGGCTGCTCCTCGCCCCTCACCTCCACTGCCCCCACTGAGGGTTCCGAGTCCCTGGCCCCTCTCTCCGCGAGCTCCTTCTCCTTTCCCCTCCGCTGGGCCGGTGAGCGGCGGCCGCCGGCGCCCCAGCAGCAGCTAGATGTCAGGCGAAGCCCGGAGCGCGGCGCGCGGGGAAGGGAGGGGAGGGGAGGGGAGGCGGTGGAGCGAAGGGGTGGGGCGGGGAGCGCGCGCGGGCTCGGCCAGTACGGGGGTGGGGGGGGGCGGGCTGAGCCTGGGGACGGCGCGGGAGGAGGGGGGGGAAGAAGGGGGGCAGCTGTGGGCAGCGAGCCGGGCTCGGCCGCCAGCACTAAAGATGGAGAGGCGCCGGGGCCTCGCAGGGGAGGGGGCTCGGCGTTGACGTGGGCCGCGGCGGAGGCGCCGCAGCCGGTGGTGATTTGCTAACCTCGCAGCAGAGAGGAGTTGAGGGCGATGAGAGCGGGTACTGCGAACTGCCGGGCGATGCCGCCGCTGCCGCCGTGATACCGAGAGCAACAGTTCCCAGCCAACACCCCTCCCCGACACAGGCACACACCCCCAAGAGGCACGCACACCCACCCCCAGCGCCCGGCTCGGCAGCGGTGAGTAGGGGGCCGGGGAGGGGCGCACCGCTCAGCCGCAGGCGCGCGCCGGGGCGCCGGGGGGCTGGAGAGGTCCGAGGGGCGCGCTCCCTTCGGCCACTCGGCCGCCGGGCTTGTGCCTTATTTTATTCGGCGTGTTCCCTTCCTGCTCCAGCAGCCGTCGCCACCGCCGGTTGGGGGTCGGCTAGGAGGGGAGCCCCGGCTGTCAGCTTGGGCGCAGCTGCCTCCCCAAGCCTTCCGCTCTAGGGCACGGTCGGGGTGAGAGGTGGGGGGCAGAGCGGTCTGCGGGGGCTGCAGGCGCGAGCGGAGGGTCGGGGAACCGGAGGCTTTGTACCACCAGGGGCCGGCGGAGGAGCCGGGAGTCGGTGGGTGCTCATATGTATGCGGACCGGTGCGCGGGCGCGATAGGGTTGTGGTTTATTTGTGTTTATTCGCCGGCCGGCTGGGAAGCCAGAATCCGAGGATCCGAGGAGTGAGGATCTGGGGGCGGAGGGGAGCAGGACTCGGATTCACTTGGGTTTGCTTTCTCTTTGAAAAACGTGGTGGGCTCTTTTTTTCCTGGTTGGACTTGACCCCCCACCCGTTTTGGGGGGGGAGGGCGGCCGTGGCGGAGCTCCGGAGGGTCTCCCGGGCTCCGGGCCCTCCTCGGCTCTCGGCGGGACCGGCCGTGGCGCGGGAGCTCGCTGTGCGCTCCGGGCCGCGCTCGGTGGGTGCCCCGGCTCTGCACCTGATGCATTCGGGATGCGTTTCCCAACCTGGCGCGCCGGCAGCTCGCTCGCACAGCCCCTCGAACGCTCCCGCACGCGCTCGAAATGCGCACCATCTCGCCGGCCCGCGGACCCACCGGAAGGCACAGACGCGCGGTGCGGCGATTCACCCGCCCGCTCCCCGGGACGCTCGCAACGCGCCCCGGCCCGGCACCCTGCCCGTCGCTGCCGGGGGTCACGGCCCCGGGTCGGAGAGGGAGGGCCGGCAGCTCCCTTCTCGCTTTTCCTTCCACAACTCGCTGTCGGGCTTTTGTGCTGCCCCTGCACCGCGGGGCGGGTCCGCCTCCTCGCGCTCTCGCCCAGGCGTCCAGCCTGCCCCGACTCTCGTCTTTCGTCCGGGTCTCTTTCGCTTTCCCTCTTCCCTGACCCGGCTCCTCTTCTCTCTGCCGTCTGGCTCCCCGGGAAAAGTTGCTTCCCCAAGTTTGCTGAAGTCGCTTCCAAGTCTCCGTGGGGGTGGCTTGGACTGGGGGCGAGTGAGAGCAAGATCGATCCCCGGAGCTCGAGCGGGTGAGCGCCGGCGTCCCCCCCACCCCCCAACCCCCGCACCCCCCCCCACCGGATCCCGGGCGCGGAGCCGTGGGTGGAGGTCGGCTGCCCGAGAGCACCCTGATTTCCCGCAGGACCCAGGGCGCTTGCTTTTTGGAAGGAATTCGAGTGGCCCAGGTTCCATTCTCTCGATGGCCCCTCGTTCTCCGAAGCCCCTGGGTCTGAAGGAAAGCGCACCCACGGTGGCAAGGCGCGGATGAGTGGCAGTTCCACTCTTGACAGCCTTAGTCCCCACCCCAGGGTGGGCAGCAAAAGTGTCTTGACTAGTCGTCCTGTTAACCCTTCCTGCGTGAGATCTGTGGCTCTGGAGCCAGTAGGGCTCCTTTTGGGGGCGGAGGCAAGCGGTGTTCCCAGAGCCAGGGAGAGCCTGTGTTCTGCTGTGTTTCCAGTTCATTTCACTGCAGCGTTGGCCACAGCAAGGCAGAGGCGGGGAGGGGGGGGAGCGGCGGCTGGGGCTGGGTGATGTCTTCCTAACATTTTAAACCGGTTAGGGAGTCCCAGAGCCCTCTAACAGCGCTTTGGGAGAGGCCTTTGTCTCCCAGCCTGTTCTCTCTTCATACCGCTTTTAACACACACACTAGCTTCTGGTGCCAGGACCACATCTGGTGCCTCCAAGCCATGTCCGGCGCCAATTGCTGCTCGTGGGCACAGGACCTCGGAGCCTGTGGGACACGCTTGGAGTTCATGTACTTAGCATGGGCACTGCTGGCCAGAGGGTGCATGTTTCCTATGATCTCTTTCTCTCTAGGTCTTTCGTGACTTATTCTGCATCTTACAGATCCTCTTGCCCACTGGGCACTTGTGGGCAGGAGGCAGGTGTGGCATCTCCGAGAAGTATTTGCACACGTGTTAACTCTCCTTCTGGCTTCTGCGTGCACACACATGTCCGTGCACACGCAGTCCAGATTTCCGATTGCATGTGCAATAGCTCTGAGGCACCTAGGGGTGGAAGTAAGCCAAACTAGCGTGAGGGTTGTGTGTGTGTGTTTCCATTGGTGCCTAAGGCCGGGGTGGGGTGGGGGGGGGTCAGGGTGTGGGTGGGTCAGTCCCTTGCAGCCCTGAGAAGAGGGGAAGGGCAGAGGCCTGGGAGGGCCAGAGAAGGAGAGCCCTTGCTCGTAAACTCCTGTGGGCCCCGCCTGGAGGCTGCGAGCCTCAGTAGGCTTACCTGTGCTCCTCCTGAGGCCGCGGTGAGGCAGAACGTCGAAGAACTTTGTTTAGAAGATGAGGTTTATTGCACAGGGGTTGAGAGTGAGATCCAGGGCTTTAACTGACTAAAGGAAGGGGTTAAACTCTTATTTAAAGTGCGGGCCGACACTTCTTCATAACGCATGTTGGCCTTGTTGCATGTACTGGAGCCCCCACTCTCAGACTTCCAGAAAGCCCAGGACTCACAGGCTTCACTGTAATTCCCATTTCACTTCATCTAACAGCCATCACAGAGCAGTGAATGAAGCGTGTGTGGTGGCAGAAACTTCTCTTTACCCTCCTCGTTCCTGGGCTCATAAAGGCAGGTGTGCAGGGTTCTAGGAAACTTCCTTCTCCCCGCACCCCCGCATTAAAACCACCAAGACTGTCTCACTGGGGGGGGGGGCTATACGGGTGCTGTGTTGTTTGACTCCTTACTTTTAGGGACACTAATCTATCTTTTGTCCTCTCATCTCTTTTCCCGCCCCTCCCTTATCCCCTGTAGCCCCCTCGGTTGGTCCAGGACACCCACCCAGCCCCTCCACGCAGAGCCAGGAAGGAAAGAGAGCCTCATGCCTAAGCCGAGGGGAGCATCATGGATCTGACAAAGATGGGCATGATCCAGCTGCAGAACCCCAGCCACCCCACGGGGCTCCTGTGCAAGGCCAACCAGATGCGGCTGGCCGGCACGCTGTGTGATGTGGTCATCATGGTGGACAGCCAGGAGTTCCATGCCCACCGGACTGTGCTGGCCTGCACCAGCAAGATGTTCGAGATCCTATTCCACCGCAACAGCCAGCACTATACCCTGGACTTCCTCTCGCCAAAGACCTTCCAGCAGATTCTGGAGTACGCATACACGGCCACACTGCAAGCCAAGGCGGAGGACCTGGATGACCTGCTGTATGCAGCCGAGATCTTAGAGATTGAGTACCTGGAGGAGCAGTGCCTGAAGATCCTGGAGACCATCCAGGCCTCGGATGACAATGACACGGAGGCCACCATGGCAGATGGCGCGGCCGAGGAGGAAGAGGACCGCAAAGCTCGGTACCTCAAGAACATCTTCATCTCGAAGCATTCCAGCGAGGAGAGTGGGTATGCTGGTGTGGCCACACAGAGCCTCCCGGGACCCGTGGTGGACCAGAGCCCTTCCGTCTCCACCTCATTCGGTCATTCAGCCATGAGTCCCACCAAGGCTGCGGTGGACAGTTTGATGACCATAGGACAGTCTCTCCTCCAGGGAACTCTTCAGCCTCCTGCGGGGCCTGAGGAGCCCACTCTGGCTGGAGGCGGGAGGCATGCTGGGGTGGCTGAGGGGAAGACGGAGATGATGCAGGTGGACGAGGTGCCCGGCCAGGACAGCCCTGGGGCCACCGAGTCCAGTACGGCGGGCGCCGTGGGGGACAAAGTTGAGGAAAGGGGCAAAGAGGGGCCCGGGACCCCGACTCGGAGCAGCGTCATCACCAGCGCTCGGGAGCTGCATTATGGGCGTGAGGAGAGCGCGGAGCCCCTGCTGCCTGCCGCCGAGGCTGGCCAGGGCCCCCCGGGCCGCCCCGAGCACCCCGCGCCCCCAGCTGAGAAACACCTGGGCATCTATTCCGTGTTGCCTAACCACAAGGCTGACGCCGTGTTGAGCATGCCATCCTCAGTGACTTCGGGCCTCCACGTGCAGCCTGCCCTGGCTGTGTCCATGGACTTCAGCACCTACGGGGGGCTGCTGCCCCAGGGCTTCATCCAGCGGGAGCTGTTCAACAAGCTGGGGGAGCTGGCTGTGGGCATGAAGTCCGAGAGCCGGACCATCGGGGAGCAGTGCAGCGTGTGTGGGGTGGAGCTTCCCGACAACGAGGCTGTGGAGCAGCACAGGTAGGGTCCTCTCCGGCCCCGCACCCCACACCCCGGCCCCGGCCCTCTGGCTCAGACACCTTGCCTTCATACCCAGCTACCCCCGCGCCCTGGGGCCTGGCTCCCCAGTACTCCCTGCTCTTTGTAAAGAAACCCCCGCTTTTTCTAACTCCTGGCTGGGGGGTGAGGGACATACTCTTCACATGTGGCAAGAGGGCCTGGGGTCTTTCCTAAGCATTGGGGAACTCACGGGGGCCCAGCTCTTTTCTCTCTTACTGTGTTTGGGTTTCCATTTAGTTTTTCTGCTGTTGGGTCTGGTCGCCTTTGCCTGGAGGACTAATAAACTGGAGGGAGGGAGACAAGGAGGTGGGATTGGGGAAGAGGGTCTCGTCTGGCCTGGCCGTGGCTATGTTGCTGGGTTTCAGGGACACAGGTGCCCAGGTGCCCGGGTCCCCAGGGAGTGCTCCCCGCCAAGGCCGGCAGTGGGCAGCTCCGGAGCCCGGGAGGGGCTGATGCTGCTTCGGCCATGTGAGGAGCTGCGGGTTCCACGCGTCATTCCTGGGGAACGTTTCTCACCAGGAATGTTGCTTCCTCTCCCTCCTCGTTCTCTGCCCCTGCAAACACATTTAGAGGGAGTTGATTTACATTCAAGGGGGAAGGACGGGTATGAGAGTCTCGATTTTGCAGCCTGCAGCCTTATTCTTATCCCATCTCTACTCACGTTGAATTAAATGCGACTTGGGGCCAGCACTGACTCCCCTCTAGCTTCTGTTTCTTTCTCTGTGAGATGAGCATTCGTTGAGCTCTTTTGGCATGCCTGGTTCAATACTGAGTGCTTTACGTGGAGTCACGTTTTTGTTAGAGCAGTCAGCTGGGCGGGGTGGGGGGTGTTCTTCTTTCACATAGGAAGATGCTAAGACCCTTTCCCAGGGTCACATAGATGGTAAGAGACCGGGTTGGATTCAAATTCAGGTTTTAGCCTCCTGGCACTTTGCCACCTCTTGGAGTCGCTTCGTGCTGAAGAGGATCACGTCTACACAACAGAGGGTTTTGAGCATCGCTCATCCTAAGTGGAGTGAATACGGACAGAATCTGTAGTGGGTTTGACTTTTACTTGGATCTGTTGTAACAATGTGCCCATCATTTTACCCTCTGGTCCCCGGGTCAGGTGAACGGTGTCAAGAAGGCCACTTTTGTTGTTGTCCACAATAATATCTCCTGCACACCCTCTCGCCTGCTGTTTTGCCGATCTTGGGGGCAGTCTGCCCTTCAGCAACCCTCTTCCTCCACCCTCTCCTCTGTTCTTGCTTCAGCTACAGGAGAGGGGGCGTGAGTGAGTGGGTGTGGGGGCCGGAGAGGCATCTGGCGGTCGGCTGATCACCCCAAGCCCAGCCGGAACCTTCGCCGACACTGGCTGATCGGTGGCTCGTGAGACTGACTTTGTGGAAAGTGCCGCTGAGCTGAAAGTAGCCGAATTTTTCCGGCGGGTGCGAAAAATAACCGCCAGGGAGGTGCGTCTTCTTGATGTTTGTGCCACTCAGAAATAGACCGAGGGTGTGTTTGTTTTTGCTCAAACTTTCCTAAAGAGGAAACCCCCCTCCCCAAACTTGACCAGATAGATCTGTCATCTTCTCCGGATGTGAATTCTTTCAGATACGTGCTGTGAGAAATGGGGTACAGTGGAAAGTAATTTGGTTTCTGCCTCTGTAGTTGCCTCTATAGCTGGGTGGGCTACAGAACATACCACCCTCCCAGGAGGTCCAGGCTCCCATTCTGTGGGACCCTCTGTCCTCTGGGGAGAGGCGGAGGCCTGGCTGTGTTACCTTCCCCGGAGAACGGGCCGTGGGACTAGCCATGTCTCTCCATGGGAGCCTGGGATCGTTATGTAACCTTTCTGAGCTTTGTTTTACTCTTTTTAAAATGGAGATGGGGCCCCTGCGTGGTTCAGTGGGTTAAGCTTCCGACTCTTGCTCTCAGCTCAGGTCTTGATCTCAGGGTTGTGAGTTCAAGTCCCGTGTTGGGCTCCATGCTGGGTGTGGAGCCTACTTAAAAAAAATTTAAAATGGAGATGGTCTCTAGAGCGTGGTGCTGAATTGGTGCGGTAACATCCAGAAACCCCTAGAGCAGCGAGTGAGTGGCACATAGCAAGCATGCAGATGACGACGGACCCTTCGGTCCCCTATTCTGTTCAGGTCTCCGTGTTGCCTCCTTTGACGCGGAATTCTAGAGTGTAGTGTCCACAGCGCTGCCTTCCCGCCGGGCCCTGCTGGACATGAGGTGGTGCAGAGAATGGCCCTGTCCCTGTGAGCTTATGACGGGGAGGCCCTGGTCCAGGGATCCTTGGCTGTGGGCTGCTGACCTGGCAAATGTGCTTTTGACTGAGGGTGGGAAGTAAGCTGCTGCAGCCCAAGAGACTAGAGCTGAGGGCAGGGCCTCAGGTGGGAAGCTGCGGGGACTGAAGAAGTCAAGGAAGGGAGAAGATGTTCTTGTGGCTGCCCCCTGGTCAGATGCACTTTGTGGGAGGCTTTTTCTCTCTCCCTCAAAACTCTCCGATTAAGGTGCCACTTGCCTAATTCCTGCTCTTCTCTGTACCTCCCCGCACATCACAACCACCAGTATAAGCAATAGGGCAAGACCAACCAGTCAGAGGGGGGATTTTGGCGTCAGGATGTTGTGCAATTGGGTGTAAACATAGCAGCGATGAACGTGAGAAAACAACAAGCTACAGGTTTCGTTTTATTTTACTTTTAAGCCACAGACTAAAGCGTTGCTGAGTTAAGTCCCCCACGGTTCTTGTTGCCCGGGTCCTTGAGGAATAGAAGGGCATGGAGAGGAGAGAGGGGGAGAGGGCAGGGAAGCGGCTCAGGAGGGAGGGTTCGGTCTGGATCCCGTCACTAGGTCGCCTCAGTCCCAGGCTGGCGAGAGAGAGCTGGAGCCGCGGACAGAATAGAAGAGCGAGGTGGTGGTCCCCGCGGTGCTGGGTGAGAACATACAGGCAGCATCACCTGGAGTCAGGGACCCATGGAAAGACAGGGCAGGGCTCCTTGGGCAAATTAAATGGGGCTCACTTACCTGAAGGATCCAGAAGGTCAGCAGACCCGAAAGACCAGCAGCATTCTCTAGGCAGGTGAGGAGCAAGCTCTGGGTGCCACAACCTTTTCTAGGACAGTCTCTGAGGGAGGGAGGGTCCCAGCAGGTTTCTGGAGGATTGGACTCTCCTTCTCTAGGTTCATCTCTCTTTTCTCTCTCTGTCTCTGGAAGGCTGGAGCTGTTCTGCATGTAGGCTTATCTGGATCTGATAAGCTAGGGATGAGCTGGGGACCAGCTCACCTGAGCCCGCTGCAACTTCTCCTTCTCAGAGTTACACACAGGTTGCTAAGATTACAGCTGATGGTGTGGTTGACTTAGGTGTGAACACAGTCCTCATTCTTAGCCCCCAGTCTCCCCAGGCTCACACAGCCTGGTAGGAATGTGTTTCTGAATTGCGTGCTGCAGAATCAGAGCCGGGTCTTGTTTCCCCAGGGGCCTCTGGATCTTCTCCAGCAGACCCTTGGACGGGCTACCGTGTGAATCCTGTGTGCACACAGTAGGAACTCTTGCTGGGCTCCTGAAGGGATGCTCGGGAAACAAGGAATGATCTCAGCCAGCTCCCCGGACCCACGTGTGCAGCCCTTCCCAGAGGCTTCTTGGGGCCAGCTCTAGGGTGCGTGAACCACATAGCTGAGATGACAGATTTCTGCCTGGCTCTTCGCCTTGGTCTCTCAGGTGGCCAGCTGCTCTGTTTTCAGTGGTTGACCATGTAGAGGGGCAGCAGCTGTTGACCTTGGTTTCGGCCACTTTGGGGAGCTTAGCTGTTGCCCTTACTCTCAGTTGCCTTTCATCGTTCTGCCGGCTTTAGGCACCTCTGAGGTCAAACCCAGCTCTGCTGGGAAAGAGTGTAGAAAGGACAGCCAACAGCAGTAATATTAACAGTGCCTTTGATCAGTGGTAGCACTTTCTTCTTTGCCGGGCTCTTTTCAGGACTTTGTCTCTCTCCGCCCCACAGCCTCCCCTACGCGGGTTCGGCTCCATCATCCCCTATCTGTGAATATGAAGTCTGAGAAGCTCTGAAAGCGAAAAGGTTCTGTGCAACTCGTTTAGTGGCAAAACCTGATCTGAACTGATGGGAGGCTATATTTATCCCACCTATTTTGAATATTCATATGTTTTGCTGCAAAAATATTAATGTGTTTGATTACAGAGTGCTTCTCTAGACTCCTTCGGGACTGGCAAACACTTGTGGGCCCCATAGTAGCTTTCTAAAATCCGGACAGTTTGGCTTTCTGAAGTACCGGCAGGTTTTGGATCAAGGATTGTGGACCTTTTTCAGCCCCACCTTCCCGACGAGGAAAAGGAGCTCTGGAGCCCGTAAGTGACTTGTCCAAGGTCACGTAGCTATAAATGGATAGGGTCAGGAGCTCAGCTTCCCTTCCGATGCCCAGTCCTGAGTACCCTGCGCCAGGCCATATAAGCACATGGACACTGCCGTTCTGGGGCGGGTCCGTCTGACCTAGTCTTTGGGTGCCAACACCGTCCCTCAGATACCACCGTTGGAGGCCACAGCTATCTTCCTTGACGTCAATCCTAAAGGTCAGGTGGAGCTCGACTTCTCTGAGTAGCTATTTGTGGCTGTTCTGTCATTCACAGATTTGCCCAAATCCTTTCTGAATCCATTTCTGTTTCCAGGAAGTGTGCTTTTGGGGGTGATGAATGACTTACGTTTATCACCTCCCGGACTCCTGGAAATCTGCCTTTTGGAGAGCTCATTAGTTGGGTAGTTGGGAAGATGGCAGGAGGCTTGGTGGTGTATTGCTGTGCCCAGCTGGGGTGGAGGCCAGGCCTCTAGACTCCGCTGCGTGGTTTTTAGCCCCATGACCTTTGTTGGGCTCTTTTCCCTTCTGAGCTTAATTCCTTCGTTTGTAAAACGAGGTGCTTGGATGAGCTGTTTCTGGGTTGAGTTCTTTAAGAAGTTCCCTTAACCC